GAGGGGCACCTCCTAATACAATCACTGGGGGTTAAGAATTCAATATGAATTTTTGGGGGAACACAAACATTCAGACCATAGCATTGTTTTTATTATTGTTGTGATGGTGGGGTGTATGTGTTTGTGTGTACTGTTTGTTCAAGTAAATACAAGAGACGTAAAAAAGGGGCATCATTATCTAGAAAGTATATAAATCACATATAGAAACACATCACAATAACTCATGAAAACCTCAACCAGTGAGGTTCTAACATACATTAAATTGAGAATGAAAGCTATTGTGAGTTCATGTAGAAGTGGATATTGTTTCAATAAAGGGGTAAGAAGTTTAATGGTGTCAAAAACAATATAGGAAAGGGCTATTATTAAGCACAGTATTAGAAGTCTAACTTCCATATGGAACATCTGCAATATCAGACAAAAGACTTCTCAAAAAAGTCTTATTTAAGAGTAGGCCCAGAAATGTAAATTAGAGCATACGGAGTAGAGGCAATAATATTGTAACAACTATGTATGAAACCAGGTTGGTACTCCAAATATCAGGGGGATCACTCTGTAAAGTACATGATTGTCTACCCACTGTGCTGTACACTTGCAACTAATACAGAATAATATTGAATGTAAATTTTATTGAAAAAAAATTTAAAAAGTAACCAAAAGACTTCTTTTTTTTTTTTTTTTTTTTTGCTTAGGCAAGACCAAATTTCTGAAGAAAGCAATGAATGCTTCCTATCTCTGAGAAGCCCAAGGCTTTCTGATACATTTAAAACTTTAATCCTTGTCTTTTATTTCTATGTATCCTCTCTTGTCAACAGAACCTTTTTGCAGGCATGCACAGCTGAGTGAGAGATGACTAGCTACCCCATCCACCCAGGAGGGGCAAGGAGAAGCCCACCAATGGTTACTTGGAGGCTAGCTCAGTTTGGTCAGTCAAGATTCATCCATTCACTTCTTTTCTTAAGCAGATTTATTCTAAAATAGGCATACAAAAGATAATGGGCAAAAGGAGGGAACTCATCCTGAGATTTCACGGTAAAACTGGGCAACTTTGAAGCACAATTGTTACTTAAGGGTGCTGCCTCTTTGCTGGACTGCCAGGATCAATGTGGGAAGAGAGAGTCTCCATTGATATCACCAAGTTAACCCAAGAGTAGCTGGCTTTTCCCTTTTCTTGTGCATACAAGCAAGTAATTCTATCCTCCACTTAAACGCTTATTGAGTAATAAACTCTTTACTTATATTCTTGGTGTGCTTAACCTGATAATATGTCTGCATCTTAAAATGCTCCAATTATATAGCATTCCTTAAAGGTAATATAAACCATAGTGGATATACAGGAAAACAGAAACTTAGAAACACATTTGAAAAGGCTGAGGTCTCTGATTTGTTAGAAGAGACCACTTTAGAATTAACATTCAACACAATACAACTTGATCAGAATTTCCCTTGTCGCTTATTTTCATTAATCTCTAAGTCACATAAAATATGTAATTTTGTAGATACTTTAACTATATAATTTTCTTTTAATATCAAATATCCTACAGGTTTCTGAGCATCCTTTTGAATAGTTCAGATTTAAAGACTGAAAATATCATTTGAATTGGCCCTAAGAATAACCAAGAAACAATTTCCAGCATAAGAGAACACCAGTTTAAAACAGAGGAATTCAAATGATTATCAACAGTAAACAGTCCTACTCATTTTCCCCCTTAACTTTAAGATTTACTTGTAATTTAAAGAATGCTGCAAAATGAAATGTCATTATCTTTCATCAACTGTTCAGAGACTGCTTGCCACTGAACTTGAAATTTGTGGGAGGTTACATGAGAAATATATCACCCCTGACTTTAATGAGTTTGTAGTTGACTTGAAGGAAACAAAAGCAAAATTAATAATTAAACTCTGCTTCATGAGATAGCTATTACAACTACATTCACGTTCAAAGAGCAAAGGTAGAAGGAATACATTTTAATCAACTTTGTCAGAGTAAACATTCTCAGAGAAAACAGGACTTTGCACTGATCTTGAAGAGAAGGATTTAGACAGCAGGTAACAGTTTCAGGCTGGCTAACCTGGAAGGCTCCTGGACTTTCGACATCACTGTGGCCTCAAAGGGCAGGAGTAGAGAGACTGAGGATTTCAACAGCTTAAAATACGGCTGTTGTGCAACACAAGTAAAGCGGTTAACCAGATGTGGAGAGCCGTGGGGCATTTGCCAGTGATTGTGAAGAAAGTGGTTTGCAATCTGGAAACCATTAAAAATTTCTTGCAGCAGATTCTCTAGTGCTTCACTTACAATCCTCGATCTTCTGCTTCTTATCTCTAACTTTGGCCTTCCTTTCCCTAGCTGAAACATGAGGGTGGGAGAATTTTTCTTATCTGCCAAAAAGAATTAATATGAGGCTCAAAAGAAAATAGCATAAAAGCGTTTTAGAAGCTGCAAACCCTTAAAAATGTTTTAATTCATATCACATTTCTCTGTGTATTATGACTAAAATTTCGTTGCTTTGGACAAACAGTAAATCATTCATTTAGGCTATCCAGATATCAGTGTCATTCTGTGGATTTTTTTAATCACTTGGGACAAAAATACACTGTGCCTTTCTCTATTACCTGGACACAGTGCAGATAAGGCAACTGGCTTCCCTTTAAAAATGGTGATAAAAACGTAATTGCTTTTAAATAGCTCTGTCTCCCATGTGGTACTTGGTGCTGTCACTCTCAGCTGCAGGGAGCCTTGGACCATCCACGATACTGTCTGTCTTTGCACAAGACCCACATCAGAGATGCCTTGACAGGAACTAGACATCGGCCTTGGGCCTGAATGATATTTCAGTGAGAACCCAGGTTATGTTACACAGTGCTTCCTGATTAGGTTGGGCAGCCCAACAGCCCACTAACACTGGGGATTTTCTGTTATCTGCTTGCCAGCTGGAAAAATATTTTTCTTTATATTCTGTAGACAGTGCATGTTAAGTTGATTTAGAGTGGCAATGAGGTGAAGCATGATATCTATAAGAGTTTCAAGATGACCAGAGGAACTGGAAATCATATCTGGTGAACTTTCTCTGATCTTAACATTTAATGCTAAAACTGATTCATATGTTCACCTATATTTAAAATAGGTTATTTGGAACTCACCAACAAACACACACACACACACACACGCACACACACAATTCAATAACTTTTTTTCTCACAAAGTCCTATTATACTGTGATTTATTCCCTATGGTTAAGTTGAATTTAATTGTCTAAGAGTTTTAATCACATTGTTGAAGTCTTGTCTTATCCACATTATGTGAGATTTATCTTTTGTCTTTAGATGCATGCTAATCTTTAAAAAGTCAGTATAATAAATCTGCAGGCTGTTTTTCCAGATTGCCACTCCCTAGACGGATGAAGGATTGCATTAGCTGAGTCAGGTATGATGCTGATGGTATCAGGAAGCTGTGCAGGAGAGAGACCTTCCCATTTTTCTTCCCACAAAGTGAGACCAAACCTCTGAACCTTCCTCGAGTAGAGAATTTAATTTCCCTTCCAGACTAAGTGTTCTAATGGTTTATGACACCTCCTCCTTGCTCACCAATAGAGATGATGTCCTGCCAATGAAGATGAGTGAAGAAGTTAATAAAATTCTCCAGGGTCACAGGGGACGAAGAAAAGAAGTTTGTTCCATGACTGGCTTATGATTGCCATTATGTTTACTGATTGTCTTGACCTACTGTGAGGACAAGGGTCTTGAGAACAATCCAGGAGAGTATCTTGTTAGATTTTCATGAAAGAAAGCTGACATGCTATTTCAATGTCATAGATATGCATGCCATGGTTTTAGACATGTAAAAGACCTGGTCATTAAAACTTCGGTGTTCCAACTGCAGAAAGGAAAGAGAGGGAAAGGAAGCTGGAAGCTACCTCATCCCTCAACTTCAAGGGGTAGCTCTGGATTCACTCCAGACCAGAGCAAACCTGCTAAAATGGCCTTGGTCACAGCACTGATCATGAAGTCAGATGGTTCCAGAAGTTTGTGTGTGTGAGTCACCCTTCCCTCCCATGAAGTTGTTTGAGTGAAGCCAGAGTGGGTGCTGTCTGGCTGACAAACTAATTCTAATCTGTAGACCAAACTTCCTGATGAGCCCCTCAAGCCCATCAGCCTTCCACAGTTTCTCCGAACTGGGTCAATGACACACCTGGCTAAGGAGCCATAGCTAGAGCAGGCTGGGTCTCCCTGGCATTGCTTTAACCTGCACTCGCCCCACCCCATCCCATCCCCAAAGAAGAACATACCTCTTCCAATTCAAGTGTGTTGAACTGCAGAAAGCAAGGTATCATCTTGCACAGCAATATACTTGCTAAACTACAAGTGTAGGATTTCCAGCCAGCAGACTTGAATTTGAAGCCTTTTCCTGCTACTGACTTAAAGTGGGAAAACAGACACTTTCATCATACCATCTTGGCTTCTAAAGCTGGCTGAAGTCCAAAGAATAATGAACTAATTTGTGAAACCTAGAATGACCCACGTGTAAGAAGAAGAGGTAGGGCTTTCAGTTTTAGTGCAGTTGTAGTCGCAGCTTACATTTCCCGAGCAGTAATAATGTATTCGAGTTAAAGATGACCACCAATGTTTCTAAAGTCAGACCTCTTTCTGCTTTGGCTCCAGTCTTCCTCCTTAGATGGAGATGAGGGGCAACTCCTAGAGGGCTCTGTTCCCCAGGAGAAGCTGGGCTTCAGTAGCCCTGGCTGGCCCAGAGGATCAAATCTCCACTGGATTGCCCTTTACCTCCGGCCGGAGCAAGCAGCTCTCTCCACCGGGATGCCAGGTTACCTCGTGCTCCGTGGAAGGGTATAGACAACTCCTCCCACCTACTCTTCTTCCCAGCTCCAGCTGCCTAACTCCCTTCCTTCATCAACTCTCCCCCGCTCCACCCCCCTCCCCCAAACCTCCGCCCCTTCAGTCTAGGGAATTTCCCAAGCATCTTAAAGCTTGAATTTCCTGCCTGGGGGAAGGAGCAAAGGTCGATATAAGGGATGAAGAGGGCTTGGGGACTCCACAGTGCTCTGGAGTTTCAAATCCTCGCGCCTCCTCCTTCTTGAATTCGTGCCCTCTCGCTGCGCCCTCTTCCTCGCTATGAGTCTCGCTACCCGCATCCCCGGCCCTTCGGGATCTCTTTGTGTGCTGCTGGCGCTGCTGCTGCTGACGCCTCCCAGGCCCCTGGCCAGCGGTGAGAGCTCACAGCCCCCGGGAAGCACCCGACAGAGCCGTGCGCCCCCGCCTCTGCAGCAGCGCAGTCCTGGGCTCGGGGAGATGTCCGAAGCCAAGCTTACTGCAGGGAAGCTTCCCAGCAACCTCCTCTATAACAGTGTCTCTCTTTCTGTCCCAGCTGGTCCTTCCTCGTTCTTCGTGAGAGAGCTGCGTTGCCAGTGTTTATCCATCACACCCACGGTTCATCCCAAAATGATCAGTAATCTGGAGATGATCCCTGCAGGCCCGCAGTGCCCCAACGTGGAACTGATGTAAGTCCTCGTACACCCCGGTGTCCGTTGTGACATTGCCTGGGACTTCAGCCCCTGCAGCTCCTGGGCGTACCCTCATTTTCTTTTTCTTTTTTTTTTTTCCTGCAGAGCCACCTTGAAGAACGGGAAGGAAGTCTGCCTGGACCCAGAAGCCCCTTTGGTCAAGAAAATCATCCAGAAAATTCTGAGCAGGTACCTGGCACTTTGATCTTTGCGGTTTTTTAAATCTGTCTTGGAGTGCAGCCTTTGCAAGGTTGGTATTCTCTGCATGTGTTTGGCTACTACTTCCCAGCCCATTCTTGAAATAAAAGGAGAAAAGGGAAAGTTATTCCCGAATGCCCTGGGAAAATCTTTATCAATAATCTTGCATGTAATAGCCTACCTAAGTGATTATGCAGAATTCATGACTAAGATGTATGTATTTGGTTAGTATATTCCTTGAGTCCACCCTTTGCTCTTTGTTGATCTTAAGCTCTGTGTTTTGCAAACTAGTTGGAGTATACAGGAGTTTGGAAATTTGGTTAAACTGGTATTTTTTTCTCAACAGTAGAAAGCAGAAAAACTAAGAGCAGGATCACGCATGGGAAAAATTGCCCAGCTGTTCAGCAGAGCAGTTTTCTGGGGATCTCTGGACGGAAAGAAGACAAAAATTACAAAGACCTAATCTCCTGCATTGAGTTAGGTTTCACCATGAATTCCTCACTTTGAGGGAAGGTTGGGAAGAGGCACCTATGTTTGTGTCTGCAGCTTTCTGTTCATCTTATGAAGTATTTTACATAGTATTTACTACTCTGTGTTTGCTGTTACTTTATCTGCTATGTATTGAAATCATTGGCAATTGATTTAATAGTGAGTCAAGAATCATGGTTTGTTCCTCTTTCAAGGCAATTAGTTTATTTCTAGACTATGTTTCCTAGAATGTTATTGAAAAAACTGTGGATTTAATATGTGAATGATATTTCTTTAGACTGCTATATATGAAGTTAAACCATTACCCCACTCTTCTTATGAAATTGTAACTATTTTAGCATTGTTTCTTAAGGAATATATTAGAGAATTTCCTTACTCTTTACCCTGGGATCCTACTTAAGTTACATTATGTTAGAATGCTAGGCACATGACACAGTTATCAGTGCAGAATATATTCCCTTATTTAGAATGTCTAAATATTTGACTTGCATAATTGGGAGTAATATATTCTTTCCTATAACTTTAGACATTTGATGTCTTCTTAGTATGGCATAATGTCATGACTTACTCATTAAACTTTGGTTTTTATATTGTATTTATTAACTATTTTATTAGAAGTGCTATAGTTTTAGTCCCAAAATATCTGCTTTGAATGAAGAAGATAGGAAATAAGTAAATTAATTATGGCTAGTTTTTATAGAAATACATTCTTTTAGTTTTTTTAAAGAATAAAGCAAACTTAGCATGATCTGTATTCTGAAGGTCTTGAAAATATATTTGACTATCTGAATGTAAACTCATCACCTAGTTTTCAAAAAATACACAACACTGCTAAGATTTGCAGATGCTTATGTTGTATCTTTTGACCATTTTGTTATAAAGAGTTACAGATTCATCACATTTACTATGTTAAAATTGTGTCCCATTGGTTTATAGCACTTCTTTCATTCTTTGGAAAAAATAAAAGATTTAAAAAATTTACTCATGCTGTTTCTTCCTTCTTATATTGTAAAAATTGTATTTTTCTTTAGTTCAACCTTATTTTGAAAATTAACTATGCTCTTCTTTGACTCCTCTCTGGCATCAGAGAACTAATGCAATTGCATTAGCTCAGCCTTTCCAGTTACCCCTTCATGCACCAGCTGTGTTCTTTAGAAAACACAAATGGGTAAGACTTCCTTACCTTAGATCCTCAGCTGGCTTCCTAGTTCCTAGACGTGAAATATAAGTTGCAAAGCATGGCAAATTATATTCAATTTCATCCAACTCCTGGCTCCTCCTTCAGCATTACTTTTCCTTCTCATCTATGCAGTCAGGGGTTTAGTTCTTTCCTGGGTCTATGCCTTTGCGTTTCCTAGTTTGCTAGGGCCTCTACCTGGAAGTGGCTTTACTCTTCTGCCTCTAGGAGGAAGTGTATTCATCCTTCTGCACTCAGCTCAAACAATACATCTTCCACAATGTTTTCCTTGACACTCCCAGCAGAATTCAAGTTTTCTATTTCGATGTTCCCTTAACATCTTCAAGACATTTGAATTTATTTGAATAGCAAATATTGCATTGCTTTTACTTGTTTATTGGTTTCCCTTCCTTCCTTTCCTAAGAGCTTTCCCAGAATATCAACCATATTTCATTTCCCTCTGAATCTCCCACACCTGATACAGACTGGCTTAATAAATTAATAAATTATCCTAAGCCTCAGGTTGTCAGTGTCCTAAAATCAATAACCTTGCTGATGGTAAGTACAAAATTCAATTTCTTTACCCACTTTTCTCCTTCTTGTTTACAAGTAATCCAACAAGACCTATGGCTTTCACAGCCCTGCCCCACCCCCAGCTTATAACACTTATGCCCCATTCACCTGGCTAACTCCCACTCTTCCTCTGAGGTCAGTTTACCTATCATTTAAGTTTTCTCTGACTCTTTCCCTCATCATATTGAAGCCCTTTGTATATTCACTCATAAAGCTTTGTTCTTTTATTTAATAACATTCTGTCACCAACATAACTATAAGGTCTCTAGAGACTATACAAGTATATATGTGGTCATTTATTTAATGTTTATTCTAACCTCACTGTAAGCTCCATCAGGCCAAAGACAAAGTTTATGATATTCAACTCAGTTCCTGGGACAGTGCTACCCAGCACATAGTAAGTGCTCTAACAGATGCATGAGCTAGGTTAAACAAGTCCCACTGTTTCTCTAGTTCATTCTTAGTAGAATTAAGAAAACAAAAAAGAAAAAGACTGATCCAATTAGTATGCATACACACACACACACACACACACACACACACACACCCCAATTGAATTAATATAGTACATGAGGGAGGAACCAAAAAACCCCAGAATTTACTTATAAAAATGCTGTATTGTGTAGGATACTGGCCAGCAGTATCCATCTCTACTGCGGATGCTCGTCGGAACACGAGAAAAACATACACAGAGATAATCAATCCTGTGGGGGAAAAGGGACAGAATGGCCACTTTCTCTAGTGGAGAGCGCCCTGTCTCCATTCCCAAGCAGATTTTTATTGAGAATACAGATTTAGTTTGTGGATTCCCAGTCTGGCAGAAAAGATCAAAAGAAGTAGGTGACTTACAAAGGTGCAGACAGAACCCCCACTGTGATTCTGGGCAGAGACTGGAGTTTTAACATTTGAAAGGAGTAACAGGGCTCAAAGGGCAGTTTTGGTTTCCTGTCTGTGCCTTCAAATTCTAATCTAATAACATCCTCCAGCAAACAGATCTCACAGGATCTTGCATATTCTATGTCCCAGGGGGTCTGCTGTTTCTGATCTAGGCTGCACCGCCCCTGCTATTTCCGCAGGCCTGAGTTAACAGAGAAGACAAAGGCAGCCAGGAGACTTGGATTACTCACTTCTAAGAGCAAGGACTCAGGCTTTGACAAAGCCAAGGGGGCAGGGGTTGATGTCCATCACCCCTTCATTTCCACAGCCCCGAGTCTCTTCCCAGAGGCCTCTACATGATCATGCCTGTCTCAGGCAATTCCCTCTGTGGGAAATCTTACCCGTCATTAGCTAACTGATCAAGCTTAGGAGGTCAGGCACAAAACAGGCAGTGTTCATGCCAGGGAAATAAGTTTTGTCTCCTTAGTGGCTCCTGGTCCGGAGGTCTCTCACTCAGCCTAAGTCACAGGGGGTTACAGCTTCCTGACACCAGGCAGGGTGGTCCCCAACAGTGTATTTATTCTTACATGTTTAATTTTTATTCACCTTCAAAGTACTCTCCATTTCATGCAATACACCTGTTGAGATGTTCTTCTTCCACTGCTCAAATGCTTTTTGAACTCATTAATTTTAATGTGTTTTAGTGCATCTGCTGATTTTTGTTTCACCTCTTCCACATTGGCAAAATGTTTCCCTTTGAGGACTTTTTTCGTCCAAGGAAACAAAAACAAGTGTTCAGGGCTTGTTTAGGGAGCCTATTAGGTGAATAGGGAGGACTGGGCATTGGGGTCATGCTGGTTTTGGTCAAAAACTGCTGAACACTCATTGCAGTGTGGGCAGGTGCACTAGTAAATCATCCATCATGAAATGGGCTAATGCGTTGAAGGAGTCTTCAAAAAAATTTCCCTGAAGCAGAACGCAGCATCTGACAACAATGCCAGCTGGTACACGGATACAGGTGGGTTCCTAGAACACTCACCTAGTAGGGGGAAGCCTGTACTACAAGGGGCCTGCCCTCCAGAAGATAATTGCAGGTTTTAGGGGTACCCCCTTTGTATATGTTTATATCGGCATGTATTTGTACATATCAATATATGTTAATATGTTATTAACATACCTATATGTAACCTGTTATTCTACATCTTTTCATTTCCTTATACATGGCATATCAATTAGATTAATATAATATATGTTTTTTATTATTTATTAGTATATATGTAATACACAGAAAGAGAAACAGAGATAGATACAAAGATATGAAAAACGCAGAGTAGATTCAAAACATGGGTTTCCTGACAATTTTCCAGCAGTACAGAAAGCATAAAATACCTTAAAATTTAAAATATATGTTAAACTTCTGAGGTCTTTTTTTGTTATCTTAAATACTACTTTTGTATTTGTTTGAACATATGAATTTTACAATAATCATGGGGAAAAACAAACAAAAAACAAACCAAATCACCATAAATGTTTAAATGATCAATTTCAGTGTTTTAATCAAAGCCTGATTTTTCATATCAGCCCCAACACACTCATTGACTAAGTGCCTGATAATAATAAATGAAAGCATATTAAGTACCCTTTGGGTGGGTGAAACATATGGTTTGTAAAGTACTAAAAATTACTGGTATACTTTTCTGTATCATTATTCAAGATCTTTCTTTTTCCTAAAAGCAAGATTTGTAAGTTTAGTTTGTTCATAAATCCTAGAATAAGACCTATTTGTAATATCCTTGCCATTCTATTTGTCATGCTCAGGCCATAATTGATCATTCCATAAAGAAGATGAATCACAATGCATTACTGATGTATAACCTAAGCAAAAACTGCAGTGATGGTTTGAACTCACCAATTTTTGATCCTGTCATTAGCAAACTCAAGGACTAACACATCTGGGAAAAACTAATCCAATGTATGACTTCTAGGGATATGCCTTAATATTTTCCTCTTACAAACCCTGACATACTCTTTTCACTCCACTATCCACCTAAAACTCTCTTATGTATTAAATCACTGGGAATTGAATGTGTCAGCTAAAACCTACTCCATGTTACTGTCTCAATCCAGCAATTTCAATGTATAAGGAATGTCTTTTATGCTCCCAGACTTTTCTGCTTGCCTCTGGGTGTGGCCCCTTCACATAATCCTTCAATTCCTGAAGGTCCAACAAGATCTATGACAAATAAGACTAGTGGCTTTGTTTTTCTATCATAGTTTTAATCCTTGCATAAGGAAAAGAATTGCTGTGGGTAACTCATCCTGGACAGAACGACAAAAGTCCTTCCTGGGTGTTACAAATTGAGAAATTTACCAGACAGAATGAGCACCTGGGGATTTCAGTTTGCCTCCCTGACTGAATCATGGAAGGAGACAAGGAAAGTGCCTATGATTCTGACTTTGGTTGATGGTCATGGGTGGCTTGTAGTAAGCAAAACTATGATGATATTTCTGAGAAGGATTGTTCACACTTCAAATATGTAGACTGAAATATAACATAGAAAGAACCAGGGTCTATGTGTCAAATTTTGTTTCTACAAGGTGTAGAATTCTGTTTCTTAAATACTGAGGAATTTCCAATGCCACACAAAGTAAGTTTGATGATTGTTTCTGAGCTTCCTTAGAGTTGTGTCAAAAGAAAAATAGTTGATTCATTTTCAGCAAGAGAGTCCGGTGATGCTTCTTTATACTTTAGGGTGCAGCACCAAGTCAGAGCAACTGTGTTTCAAATCTAATTTTGCATGTATGTAGCCATGCGACTTTGGCAACCTTTTTTTTAACATCCCCATCCCTCAGTTTTTCCCTCTGTAAAATCAGTACAGTGACACCTATCTCTCAGGCACTACAAGCTATCCTGGAACAAAGTAGATGCTTGACAAATATTAATTCCTTTCCCAAGTCTCCTAATCCAAATTCCTCTTGACAAATCAGAAGACTGAAAGCAAAATAGTTTTTGTTTTGCTTTCAGATTTATCCATAGTTTCCACCTATGCATGAATGATTAATTTTAGTGCTCCTAAGAATTTTTTCCACCATTTTTTTAAAGAAGATTGTGAAATCAATGCATTCATGTTCTGCTATGTTTTTACTAATTATGTGGTAACATTATCAAAATGTATAGTGTATTTTCCTTCTCATATACGTTCACCCACCAAATATCAATATACTTGACATCATTTATTGATAAGGCAGTTACATACTAGAGCCTGTGAAGAATTTGTACAATATAGAGATTACAAAGATGAGACACTTTTGGCCTAAGTTAAAGTCTTTTGGTAGCAAATATACTCAGAGTTTT